GAGAGATGACTCAGAGGTTAAGAGCCCTGGCTGCTCTTCCAGAGGTCCTGAGTTCAATTCCTAGCCACCACATGGTGGCTCACAACTGTCTGTAATGAGATCTGGCGCCCTCTTGTGGTCTGTAGGCATACACGCAGACAGAATATTGTATTCATGATAAATAAATAAATCTTAAAAAAAAAAAAAAAACAAAGAGGAAAGGGGGTGGGGAGCAGTCTTCCATCTCTCGTCTTTCACGGCAGAGCACTGGCCTTAGCGGTACCGGAAGAGTGTAGTGTGAAAGCTAACGCTAAGCAAGTTTGCAGCGCTCCTGTTCCCTCACCTGTAAATGGAGACGTCTGCCCTGTCTGTTGTAGATTAAACAACGTGAGCCATGAGTGATGATGACTCATGCCTGTAATCCCAGCACCTGGCAGGCGAGGCAGGAAGCCTCCCTCGAGTGAAAAGGGCAACTCGGGCTAAGCAGTGAGTTCGAGGACACATGGAACTTAATTATTTACATGTAGAATATAAACGGACGGAGGAAATGACTCAGTGGGTAAAGCGCTTGTAAGGAAAACCTAACGACCTGAGTTTCAGTCCCCTGAACTCGTGAACACTCCTATCGCATAGAGACAGGAGAATCTGTGGCAGCACATGGTTCAGTCAGCCTGTGTATGCAGACGTGAACGAGAGATGCTTTGTCTCTAACAAGATGTAAGGCAAGAACTGACAGCCAACACACACACAGAGAGAGAGAGAGAGAGAGAGAGAGAGAGAGAGAGAGAGAGAGAGAGAGAGGAGAGAGAGGAGAGAGAGAGAGAGAGAGAGAGAGAGAGAGAGAGAGAGAGAGAGAGAGAAAGCGCAGAGGGAGGGAGATGCTTTCCTAATCTTGCCTGCAATGTCCTCTGCTCATAACCCTCTAGGTTTCTTGATCTCTCAGAGCCGCCAGGTTGGTGACAAGATATGCCTGGAGACAAGCTATGCCACCTGTATGCTCCAGCAGAGGGCGCTGCAGGTCTAGCTTTCCAAACAGGAGCATGTATGGCACAGTTCAGCCAATGAACTTGGCCAGAGACGCTCTGCTTTTGTAACGTAAAGAACAACTAACTGTATGGAACTGTATCGTGAAACCTATATATACTTGTAACTGCTATGGGCCACTATATTTCAACCCCAGGAAACTAGCTGGGGAAATGTTCACGCTACTCACAAGCAGTGTTGAAGCCTCCAGAGTGGGCCCGTTTCCACACTGACAGCAGATGGACCACTTTTCCTACAGGGGTCTTTCCTCACTGCTCTTCCCCAGTCGGCTGCTCCAACTCACTGAGAGGGTGACCAAGTCCCGGTCCTTGTTGTTTCCAATGCTGACTTTAGGACATTACATCCTACATTCAGAACAGCTCAGCGACCTCTGAATCAAGGCAATGATGTCATATCCCCTATCCAACTCAAGTCTGGTCCAGGTGAGCAAACACACACACTTGCCGAAACCTCCCACCCAGCTGTGCACATCTATAAAGGGACTGATGCTTCCAGCCCAAGTTCTCCATCTCTTCTGGAAGTCTCGGTGGAGCTATTTCAAGGAGTGGCTGTGTATGGTCAGAGTCAGGCCCCTGGGAACTACTCAGATAAACTCAGGTTTCTGCCACGCGTGAGTTTGTGACCTCAGGCAAATGACTAAACTTCTCTGTGTCTCCGTCTCCTACTTTATAGTGCCGTGCAGGGTGCATTCGTATTAGCAATCTTTATCTCCAGAAAATCCACTTTACCTAAGTAGTCTGAAGCCCTAAGTCCCTGTGTTACTCATGCCCCACCTGCTTCCCCTACACTCAGAATCAGCAGGCATGCCATGAAATGCAAAGGCAAAGAACTGGCCCCCATATGGCAAACATACCTTGAGGACCTAGTTCCCTGGGCTCATGTCCACTTCCTCCCAAAGCATAGATAATTACCTTGCATCGGGGAAGACAGCCCTCTGGACATACTTCAGCATTGTCTTAATATGCTCAAGCCAATTTCAAGGATTTGAACTACCATTTGATATGACCTTGTAGATGGCATCATTTGTTTATTTTTAATTTTATGTGCATTAGTGTTCTGCCTATCCATATGTCTGTGTGAGGGTGTCAGATCCCCTAGAAATGGAGTTACAGACGGTTGTGAGCTACCATGTGGGTGCTGGGAACTGAACCCAGGTCCTCTGGAAGAGCAGCCAGTGCTCTTTAACTGATTAAGACCACTCAATTTTCAAGTTAAAAAATTATTTGTGTACATAGATGTGGTCCATATGTATATGATGTGTGTACATGTATGTGTGAATGAGTATTCCCGTGCTCACGAAGGAGGACACTGGATGTCCTCTCTTTACCTTATTCCTTTGAGGCAGGTGTCTTGCTGAACTTGGAGATCCCACTTTTTATCTAGGATTGCAGTCAGCAAGTATCAGTGGCCCCCATTTTTGTCTCCTCAGTGTTGGAGTTACAGGCATGCATGGGGCTACATGCAGCTCTTTTCGTGGGTGTGAGGATAGGAACTCTGGTTCTCACGTGTTAGCATAACAAGCTAGTCGGTGGTGGTGGTGGTGGCGCACGCCTTTAATCCCAGCACTCGGGAGTTTGAGGCCAGTCTGGGCTACAAGAGCTAGTCCCAGGACAGGCTCCAAAGCTACAGAGAAACCGTTTTGAAAAACCAAAAACAGAGCACAGCAAGCTAACACTCATAACTGCTGGGCCAGCCAGGCATTTCAGGAGTCACTATATTATGTACAATCCCAAAGCGTTTTCTCTCATCCTGATCCTGTATGGTACGTGGTATTACGGTTTGTAACCAGCACACCGAAACAGCTGCAAACAATTTGTTGGATACTGTCATTGTTATGGCCCAAGAACCTGAAACCAACCCAATGTCTAGAAGCCAGGCTTCAAGGAGTCACTGAGTCTGTATTCTTCAACTGAAAACATTGGAGCCAACCAGCCTCGGTTCCAACAGAGGCGCTGAGCCATGGTGTGGATAGATAACTAGATCCTGGGAGCATCCCTGGCTCCCAGGACAGCGTATAGAACTGAAAACTCTGCATCATTAATTACGATGAATACCAGATCCACCCAGGTACTCTCGCATTCCCAAGGATGTCTTCAGGGTGCAGTCAAAGCATTCGCTATGGCTGCATGGCAGCTCTAACTTGTGGCAAACAGCTTCTTTTAGAGCATCGTTTAGGAGAGGACATCGACTAGCTGTGTGAAGAACCTCTGTTGGTCACCTGCCAACAAGATGTTGATTCAGCCGCCCCATCGCAGTGGAGTTTACTCATCATGTCCTTTATTGAGAACGTTCCTTAGTGACCATGACATGCTTCTTACCCGCCCTTGCCACACTTCATCTCGGGAACCTTATCAAACCTGGGCATTTAGCGGGGGAAGCTATGAGTTACTAAGAATATCTCCCAGTTTGACAAAATGAAAAATGGAAGAAACCAACCCGAAGAGCAAGTGGCAGGCATCCAAGTGGGTGAGACTGTCGAGCAGACTCCAGACGTAGCTGCCGTCCATATGGGAAGCTGGGAGCCTGCTGCTTGGGCTCTTAGAAATAACAGAACCTCGTCTGGTGGTATCGTAAGAACAGTCTGACACCTAAGGACCAGACGGCGTTCTTGCTTGTCACCTGCGTTTAGAACCGTAATTTACTCTCAGCCCAGATCCCGACACCCACTAGAAACATGCTTGCTATTGCTCCTCAATCCACCGCTATCTGTCCATGGCCATATTGCTACTTTTACCCTGCCTAAAGCTGAACAACCAGCTCAAATAATACCATTTCCAGGAAGTGGCCTCTCGTTGCTGGAACCTACGATTAAGTACAGGTAGCGCCAGCGCAGGCCAGGGTCCCAGAATGGCACTCCTGCAAAGCATTCAGGACTGCCATCCCCTCTTACGTCTTCGGCTTCACAGAGGGCACATTTAAACTGCACCTCATTCTGGTGGTATCGCCTCCGTTTTGGAACGTTCAAGATTTCCTTTGGAGGACAGTAAGGGGAAGAGAGGATAGGGACGATGAACGAGTGAGGCCAAGGGAGAGAAAGGAGGGAAAACGGCCAAGTAGGAAAAAAACTGCACAACAGAAGGAGCACCCTCACCCCTCAGATGAGTCAGCGATCTTCAGCAGTTTCCAGAGAGAATGCTAAAGACTGATCTAGTCCCCGACGAACACTAACAAGAAGGAAAAGTAAAAATCTGAGCGAGTGGGTGAGAGCCATGGCTCTGTAAAAACAGAACGGAGACACTTAGAACGTAAGATGAAGAGCCGAGACTTATTAGGGGCCTAGCTAGGGGACAAGGGGCAAGGGGCCTAGTTTCTCTTTATGCCTTGGGTGACAACATGGGTGGGACAGCCAAAAGGAATCTTGGCGTCCTCCTAGGCAACAGCCTTCTTCTCAGCCCCTGACCAAGCCATGCTTTTCTACATCTAAGTTGTCACAACCCACTCCTCTTCAAGGTGCTGAGGTGCAGACAGTCGCTACTGCATTGGACACAGGGGGCAGTGCTGTCGCCAAGGACATAGTTCTGTGTGCTGCTGGGAGAAAGGAAATGCCCCAGTGACCAACACCAGCAAACGCTCTTTGCAACCTAGTCCTTGCCTCAAAACATAAACCGTGCCTTAAATCCCAGGACTCAGAAAGCAGAAACAGGCAGAGCTCTGTGAGTTCAAGACCAGCCTGATCTACACAGCAAGTTCCATCCCAGCCAGGGCTAAATAGTGAGATGCTGTCTCAAAAGAAAATTAAAATTTAGATGTGTTTAAGCCTTGCCTGCTTCGCCTAGCCTTGGGAGGCCAAGTGAGGTGGAGCCGGTCTGTTTGATAAGCTCTGTTTGATAAGAGCTAATTCCTGAATGACCTTCCCAGACCCCACCCCTCCACCCATCCTTCTCCACATCCAGGTCCCAGCTGACTGAAAGCATCCTTGTTCTCCAACACTTCTGAAGCATTTGCCATCCTGAAGCCTGAAGCACCTTCCTGATTCTGCTTAGGCCCAGCAATTACTTATCCACTAGGACTCAACAATAATTCCCCCTTTCAATCCATTTGAAGTTCTATAAGCATGTCGGTCTCGGGAGAGTCTACGCCCAGATTAGAGACCATTTTTATTTTCACCTGCGCTAGTCCTAAATATCTATCCAGAACCCCGAGGCTAGTGGGAAGCCAATCAAAATCTGGGAGTCAGAGAGGAGGGGTGAGGGGGATTCTTGTGAACACTGAGTTTTTCCTCCTTCCCCTCTATCTCAGGCTTGATAACTTGACTCCTGGGATGCTGAGAATTGAATGTCAGGAGCTAGGAAAGATCCCTCTATGTACCCTGTTGGCATGGAGACCGGGAAATCAGAGAATAAAGTAGCCCCATTTGCCAAGTACTCAAAATGAGCCTTCTCATTTCAGACCAGAAGGATACAGGGTCCTCTAGGTTTCCACCGATTGTCTCTGAAGATGGTAATTACTCCGTACACCGGAATAGCCACAAACGCTATCAGGAAGCCGTACGAAAGGTGTTGTTAAAGACATGTGAGTACCTTGGCAAGGGAAACAAGAATGAGTCTGGGCACCTAGAGAATGACAAGGGAGTCACATGGTTATGGAGACAGAGGATGTTGTACTGTTTTATATACTCCCAGAAATGTCACGACAAGGACACAAAAAAACTGAAACGGTGAAAGAATTTGGCGTACTGTCACGCTGCACCCGCTGAGGAGTAGAGCCAGCACCAGTAATTTGAACTGAGCTTAGACACCAAACAAGTTGGGTGACCTTGGGGACATTCCTTTGGCCATTCAACCTCTCCCAGCCACTTGAAAATGGGAGCTCTTTCACTTTGTCCAGAAGAGCAAGTAGGACAGACTCAATGCAGATAGTATGATGTGGGACACTTCAGGGAATTGTGTTCTCTAAAGAAAGCTGTTCTCGGAGCTGGAGAGATGACTCCATGGGGAAGAGCGCTTGCTGCTCTTCCACAGGCCCAGAGTGCAGTTCCCAGCACCCACACAACAGCTCACAACTGCCTAGAATGCCAGCCCCAGGGGATCTGACACTCTCCTCTGGCCTCCACAGACTCCCACATGTGGCAAACACTCCACAGACACATGTACACACACGAAGCCATTCCTCAAGCTCTACTCAACCTCTTTCCCTCACATTTTCCTCCTCATCTAGTCAATTCCAGTTCAGCTTCATTAGGAAAAAAGGCCACAATCTGTATACCATTATCTAACACTCTTATCATGACAAGCGTACAGAAATGAACAGATCACTGTACTAGAGGCTACAGAATGGAAACTCTGGATGCTTGGGTACTATCCTTTACAATTCCAAGACAGCTTGGAATTGCCTTGTATTGTCCGTGTATAGTAATGTTCCAGTTGCGGCAGGGTACTATGATGTCACCACTAAGAGTCGGGGAGTCTCCCAGTAGTATCTCTTCAATCTCCAGGTCTCTGTAATTACTTGAAATTCATACCCCCGGGCAGTGGGGGCTGACGGGGTCTTCCGATGTATCTCACTCTACCACTGGCTCCGTCACCACTCTTTCTCTGTGTTTTTATTTTGAGGTGGGCTTTCACTAAATTGTTCAGGCTTGAACTTTTGGTCCTCCTTCTTCAGCCTTCCAAGTAATGGAGATTAGAGGCCTGTACCACAGGTTAGGCCAAAATTAAAGTAAAAAACTTTAGAGATCCAAAAAGGCAAGATAAGGAAAGGGGCACTTGTTATTTCTAATAGCAAAATATAATTTAAAGTTTATTATTAACTAATAGGAAAACAGCTAGGTAAAAATGTAACATTTCGTCAATTAAGGATTTAAAAAATTCTCAAGACTATAGAGAAAATCAGAAAATAATAGGCCATAATTTGATCTTAAAAATATGAAAATTGGCCTGGCAATGGTGGCACACAATTTTAATCCCAGCACTTGGGAGGCAAAGCCAGGCGAATCTCTGTGAGTTCGAGGCCAGCCTGGTCTACAAGAGCTAGTTCCAGGACAGGAACCAAAGCTACAGAGAAACCTTGTCTCAGAAAACCAAAAAAAAAAAAAAAAAAAAGTTGGCAGAGTAGAGACAGGAAGATCTCTGTGAGTTTGAGGCCAGCCTGGTCTACATAGTAAGTTCCAGGACAACCAGGGTCATGTTTCAAAAACTAAAATAACTAAATAATTATAAAAACATCAGACGGAAAGCAATAGAGGAAGACGCTGAACATGACCTCTGATCTCCACGTGCACAGACAGGAAGGAATGAGCACACCTGCACATCCGTGCACACACACCTTCAGGAGATAGCTCAGTTTATATTGCAAGCATAAGGACCTGCATTTAATCCCCAACAGCTATGTAAAAAGCCAGGCACGGAAGTGTACACTCACGACTCCAGAGCTTTGAAGGGGACAGGTGTATCTCTGGGGGCCGGTTGGCTGCCCAGCCATCTTGGCCTAATCATTGAGCCCCAGGTCCTAGTGATGGACTTTTCTGGATAGCTCCTTGGGAACTTCTGCCCTCCATATATACCTGTAGGTACACATGTACATATACACATGTAGCTGTTTAGGTAAGCCTTCACACAAACAAGCACCTTCTACACCTGCACAGCTACACCTTCACACACACACACCTTCTACATCTGCACAGCTGCACCTTCACACACACAGCTTCTACACCTGCACAGCTGCACCTGCACACACACACACCTTCTACACCTGCACAGATGCACCTTCACACACACAGCTTCTACACCTGCACAGCTGCACCTGCACACACACACACCTTCTACACCTGCACAGATGCACCTTCACACAGACAGCTTCTACACCTGCACAGCTGCACCTGCACACACACACACCTTCTACACCTGCACAGATGCATCTCCACACACACAGCTTCAACACCTGCACAGCTGAACCTCCACACACACAACACCTTCTACACCTGCATAGCTGCACACACACACCTTCTACACCTGCACAGCTGCACCTCCACACACACAAACCTTCCACCAAACTTTGAGCAAGAGGAACTTGATAACACCTGTGTGTAGCATCTCAAAGTAGAGTGGTACCATTGGTTAGTTTCAGGGAATTCCCTGGAGTGAGCAAAGGAAAGCATTATTTCAGACAAGGGAAATGAAATGGGAGAGAACAATTCAGAAAAGGCCCTTGAACCGCGCAGTGGTGGTGCACTCAGGAGGCAGAGGCAGGCAGATCTTTGTGCGTTCAAGGCCTGCCTGGTCTACAGAGTGAGTTCCAGGACAGCCAAGGTTGTTACACAGAGAAACGCTGTCTCCAAACACCAAAACTTCACCACTGAATCAGTAGACCTCTCTTGTACACTTCCCAATGAGCTGACTTTATTTTCCATCTTGGCACATCTTAGAGAGACAGGTTTACTTAGCAGCAGGAAACACCAAGACTAAGCCATCTGACCAGGAAGTGTGTGAGATGCTGGAATCCGGAAGGGAGGTAGGGTATAGTGAACACCTTCCCAGGACCTCTCACACTGGTCACAGCAAGTTTCTAGACTGTGCTTTTTATCCGGAGACAGAAAAAAACAAGGGAATCTGGCGAAATTCAATCACCTGCCTTTCTTTCAACTCAACCAGTCCCCAATCAGGTCTTTCGAGTCCCAGTGACCGACGCTCAGAACTTCAGCTTCTGGTGGACCGACCATTCAAGCGTGCGTCCAGAGAAAAACATACCATGGATCCAGTGTCGACGCCATTGTCTTATTAAAAGCCCGATGACCAGGTTAGGCTGAGAGAAAGGTCAGGGTAGGGGGCTGGGGAAGTTTTTTCTCCTCACAATGAAACCTATTGTTAAGCTCCGCTTAAGAGCTGAGAATAAGCTGGGTGTAGTGATGCACACCTTTAATCCTAGCACTCAGGAGGCAAAGGCAAGTGGATCTCTGTGAGCTGGGAGTTCAAGCCCAGACTGGTCTATACAGAGTTCCAGGAAAGCCAGAACTACATAGAGAGACTCTGTCTCAGAATCAGAGAAGAGGTTTGAGTCCTATCAGGGAGAGTGGACCTCAGATCCTGGGCAGTGTGGTCTCCACACAGTAGTTTGAGACCTGTCCGCTTTGTTTTATGGGTGAGATTCTGAACAGGCACAGAATCAATGTCTTTAACATTCCTGTGGGTTCCCGAAGTCTACTCCAACCAGCATCCTCCTCAGCAGCTCTACTTCACCACCCCTGCCCATTCGCACAGAGGCAGCCTTGAGGACCATTGTTAAGGATGCTCCCTTCCCTTTAGCCTGACCTGGCTGAATCTCGAGACATTTTCTCTTTTCCAGATACATGGATCATTCTATTCTCAATGACAAAACCTTCACTCAGTATTGAGGAGGACACGCCTACAGGACAAGATGAAAACTGGAGGGAGGGCAAGGAGGGGTCAGGGTGGCCAAGTCTTCAGGTGGAGACGAGAAGGGGGAATCGAGGTGGTAGGGGAAGCGAAATAAACAAACTGAACTAAAAGGCATTTCTTCGCACTGGCTGTAGGAGGCAGTGGAGTCATCCTACGGCCCTGACTCCTTGAGAGCAGGTATGTGAGATTCCTGACGAGGTCAGATCTAGGAATGAGAGGAGTGCGGGGACTGGAGCACTGAGAGAACAACCACAGAGGTGTTGACTCAGTGCATGACAGGGGTCAGAGTCAACATCTGGGAAGGCACATCTAATGCATGACGGGGTTAGAGTCAACATCTGGGAAGGCACATCTAATGCATGACGGGGTCAGAGTCAACATCTGGGAAGACACATCTAATGCATGACGGGGTCAGAGTCAACATCTGGGAAGACACATCTAATGCATGATGGGGTCAGAGTCAACATCTGGGAAGAGACATCTAATAAGTGACAGGGGTTGGAGTCAATGTCTGGGAAGACACATCGAATGCATGACGGGGTCAGAGTCAATGTCTGGGAAGACACATCTAATGCATGACAGGGTTAGAATCAATGTCTGGGAAGACACACTTGTCCTCATGTGAAAAGCCTTAAGTGGCCACACTCTCTGCAGACATTGCAGCTTCATGCTGACAGGCAGAAAACCACGGGAAGCCATTAGTTCACAGATGAGAGAGGCCTAGGGATCCCAGGGATCAGGCTTGGGTAGCTGTACAAAGCTTTGTCACTTCTGACCCCAACCCAATGCCCAAAGAGCTGCAGAGAACGGGGCATATATTTTTTTTTTTTACAAAGAGTTTGATTTTATTGATATTTAAATATATTAAATATTTCACTGAAATACACGGTACACCATCCTCCCCCACTCCCACAGTGGTTACATTATAAAACCAAAGCCCATGGCCTCCTGTTATCCCAACTCCTTCACCAACCAGTGAGGAGAAGGGCAACGGTAACTCAGGGGAAGGACATGGCTGGCACTGTGGTACAGGGAGCCAGGGTGTGGACAGGCCCCTCCCACCTGGCAAGAAGCAGACAGATCACCCAAAGCTGAGGTTTTCCCATACTGGCTTACTCACTCCCACCCTGATGGCATCAAGTAGTCCCTTCCTATCCAGGGATATAGCTGGAGGAGATGGAGGAATTTTCTGCCTAGACCAGCTAATCTTTCCTCTTCCCTGCTTTGGCCAATCAAGCGCCCAGTGATCCATCAACTGGAATATGGAGATCTCCAGGAAGGCGGTACCAAGCCAGAAGCCAGGCCTCTGCAGAGAACTAGTGGCAGAAGCATGAGGCAGGGCCAGAGTTCTGCCAGCCCCTCCCATTCCCCCATGGAACCCTTTCTCCTTGTCAGTGTCTAAGACAAAGTGATCTTCAGTCGAAACTGAGGCGTATGCCTCTGGCTTAAAATAGGTGCAGACAGATAAACCAAGGCACCAACTAATTCAGCCCAGAGTCAAGGAGGCTGCAGGGGGTGAAAGGAAGGCGGGGACAGGAAGAGAACAGAGTACAATCCTTGTAGGTTTCATGAGGATTGGGATGGGAGCCAGAACTAGAGACTAGCCATGCTAGATTCAGGCTGAAGGCTTGGGAAAGGCAAGTTTACATTTCCCAGGCTCCATCCTCTAGTACCAAAATCTGGGTCCTCAGAGCGATCGATCCCACACTACCCCAGTCAGAAAGTATAGCATACCCCAAGAGACAAGCTGAGGTACCCAGGGAGTGACTGAGCCTCCGCCTCACAAACCTTCAACAGTTCAAGTGCAAGGAACACTAGAGATTAAGCAGGTACTTGGGGCCCCTGCACTGGGCAAGGAGACAGTCATACTGCACAAGTGGCCCCCAAATGGCACTTAGGGATTTGGCACAACAAGGACTCCTCTCCCCAGACCACTCTTCATTTTGCTCCCAAACCCCATCCCACTCCTGTGCAACCTGGGCTTTTCTCTCCATCCCTTCAAACAGAAAACCCCGCCTTAACAACAGAAGGCAGAGGCCTCCAGAAGAGAGGCAGCCCCGAGTAGGGAGCTGATGAGCTGCAGCACACGGACACACAGAGACCTAGAAAACATACACACACGAAAAGCAACATGCACACACAGTTACACAAATGCACAGGCCCTCCCTAGTGCCAGACTTAGGAGGCCAGGTTTGGGGTCAGGGTCATCTTTCTTGGAACCCTGACTCTTTTCTATTTGGCAATACAAGGTGTAGAGATGCTCCATGCCCCCTTGCCAGCAGACAGCAAGTGAGCATTCCGGCCAAGGGCGCTGACCTGGCCACACTGGAACCTCAGGTCAGGGTGGCCATCCTCTTCCCTGGCCGCCTGCACTCTTCGTCACCTGCAGGTGAACGTCTAGCTCCTGATCTTCTGATGTCCCCACACATAGGTTTGCTCTCTGGCTGGTCATTTTCACAGTACCAATGAGGCCAGATACCCCTTTCCCTGGAGCGTGCAGGAACTGGAGCTAAATCTGCGCTATCAGAGGTCCCTTTGTTCCCCTTTGGGGACAGATCATGGGACTAGGGTTTGGCAAATGGAAACATTCCCCTGAAATGTGGTCAGAGCTAGGTCCCCACAGTACCTCCTTCCTCTGCTTTGTGCCTAGGAAGGAAACTTGGCTGGGGTTGGGAGTGCCCAGGACCGGTGCTGAGGACACAGTCAGGCAAAGGCAAGCGTGGAATAGGCATTCCTCATGCCCGCCCCAGTCTTTGTACAAAAGAGTCCCAGGAAAAATAGAGAAAGGAATGACCCAGCCCTGAGCCTGTTGCCCAAACAGGGGAACAGTAGGCATAGCGAGTTGCCATTTGACTCTCTCAGACAGGAGGGCTACCTGGCTTCTTCTGCCGCCCTCCCATCTGCTTCCAAAAATGAGGAGAGCGAACAGCCCCTACCCCAGCTGAGAAAGTCACTTGGATAATCCTCTTGGCGTCCCCTCCTTCGCCATTTTGAAGGCAGACGAACATGGTCCAAGCACAGCCTGCTGGGGTGGTCCCTTTTGCTGTCAGCAAGATCTGGAGGCCCAGTGGCCCCTGCAGCAGCTCCACCAGTGAGCAGGAAGTCCACTCAGTGCCCACCTTGGTCCCTTCAGCTGAATCTCACTGCACTCTGCTAACTGCTGGGGCCCCCATTGAGGAAGTAGGTGGTCATCTCCCCTTTGCCCTTCACCTTGACCACCCCTCGACACTCCAGTTGGTAGCCCTTGGCAGCTAGAACCTGGTATAGGTCCGTGGTCACCTGGGGAAGTGGGAAAGGAGTCTGCTTAGCCTGGAATCCTCAATGATGTATTGGCAAGAAGCCCAATAGAGTTCTCTATCAAGCTAGCAACCCCTCCCCCAGTCACTGCCCCAACAGCCATAGAAGACAGCCACCCTGCCCCCGTTCCTCACCTGTATTCGGTCAGGAACCCCTGTGCTGTCCATTCGACTGGAGACATTCACTGTATTTCCCCAGATGTCATACTGTGGCTTCCGGGCCCCAATGACACCTGCCACAACCGGACCCATGTTCAACCCTGAAGTAGAGATAATAGCAAAAGCAGAGAGCTAGAGATTGAGGTTAGGATGATCCAGGGCGACTCCAGGAATTCATCTTCCCTCGCACCTTGAGGAGGACCCAAAGGGGAATAAAATGTGGAAAGGGGACAATTCTTCTGGTGGTTTTAAAAAAAAGTCTGGGCATGACAGCTGAGGTAGCTCCCCAGAGTACAGGCTGTACACGCTGAGTGCTTGCCTGTGCGTTCAGGGCTCATATTGCTGCCGCCCCATCTTACAGACAAGATATTGGGGTAACTTCCTGAGCCAGTAAAGAGACCCGTGGGAAGTCAAGCCCGACTCCAGACCTATGCTACTAATCACTGCCTCTATCAGACTGACCACACACAGATACCAGGCAGTGGCCTTTAGACGTCCTCCGGCCTTCGCCTTGTTAATCTCTGAGCATCAGCCTCATCTTAAAGGCGGGGTGTGATTAGTGTGAGAATTAAAATGCACTCAAAATATCTAGGACAAGACCCCAGAATATAGAAGAAGACTCAAAACAAATGGTCTTTGTCCTTAGCCTCAAACCTGACATGAAGGTGGGAGGCAGAAACCAAAAGAAGTCCTGATGGCAAACCTGTGACCCACAAACTGACCCCAGAGAAACGCGGCAAGACCCAGGCCCTCACCAATCTTCATCTGGAAATTGTTGAAAGAGTGTTCGTTGATATGTTTCATCTGCTCCATGAGCCGCATGGCGTAGTCTGCCAAGGCAGTGATGTGGGAGCGGCCCACCTGATCATAGGTGCTGGCATTCAGCCCGGAGGCAGCCATATAGGTGCTGCCGATCGTCTTGATCTTCTCCAGCTGCCGAAACCTCTCCTCGCTGATGATCTGGACGGAGGGAGCGGAGCGGGAGGGGGGGGGTCTGTCAAACTTGACCCAGGTCTTTTCAAAGATCACTCCTTATTGTTCCTTGGCCTTCTTCCCCCTCCTCCCCTCAATAGCCCCATTGCTTTAGGGGGTGAGCCCCCTTCTAATTGCTACTCTCAGTGAAGGTCTGAGAAGCCCTGGGCGAGAAACCGGGTATTTGGCTTCAGAAGGTTGACTGTGATGGCACCCTGCGGCAGAAACACTCTGACACGCTTTGGGGGAACTGTGTCCCAGAGTGAGGGCGGGACTTTCCTCCGGAACAGTGGGCAGCCCATCCTTGACCTGGGTGTTCAGGGCACTTCCTCACCTTCTGCTCTCATTTTCACGAGACCATGGGGCTTGCCCATCTCATAAGGATTTGCCTACAGATTCCTGCCTCCTCCTCCAACTACATCACCCTATACCCGTTCTGCCATCAATCTCCTAGAGCCTCCTGTCCTCTGCTGTTTCTCCACAAGAGTGACCCTGCCCCACTGGGTCACCACCTTACTGCCTCTGACAGGGCAAGGGACACTCTATCTAATGCATGGCTTTTCCACACCAAGTCTGCTCCATTTTCTGGTCCCCAAATTGCCCCCACTCTGCCAGTACTAGCCAATGACCAAGTACCTCATCAAAGTCGGCAATGATCTCATTGAGCAGCCGCAGGCACTCGACGCCCTCATTGTTTGCCTCGAGTTCCACGTAGAATTCAGAGAAGTTGGCAATGGAGGCGAACATGACAGCCACACATTCACACGACTGGTAGTAGAGCTCATCATTGCGGCGTTCTCGGGCCAGGAAGTGGGCGGCCACGTCCTTGGGCAGAATGTTATGCAGCAACCGTCGGTTGTACGCCTGGAGCTCCTCCATCTCCTCCTTCTCCCCTGTTGCCTGTGGGCACCACATCCATCACCCACTGCCCAACATTCACAAGGGGTGGGGCGCAGTGGTCAAGGCCTGGAGATGGCCAACAGAGGGAACCATGTGGAGGAAGAAAGGTACGGGCAGAGAAGGCCTAAATGACAGGCAAAGGGGTAAAGGGGGCAGGTACAAGATGGGACAGGGGACAGGAGATGGGACACAGAGAAGGCATGGAACCAGGGTGGGCTCGGGCAGCCACAGCCTTAGCCAGGTAGCAAGAGATGCATTTCTGGCTTGGCTCAGGCTCCATCCCCAAAAGCCTCTCCCTCCAGCATAGGTCCACCCAATCACCTGCAGTTTCCAGAGGAAGTCCAGGCGGGCAGTTGATTCCACCTGCTGTGCATGGAGATACAGTGCCAGGGCAAAGACCAGCAGAATCACAGGGGTCATATATTTGAGTGCCACCCTCCCTACGGCTGGGCTGGAAATAACCAGAGACCTGCTTGGTGTCTGAAGGAGACACTGACCAACCTCATTCATTGCTGTCCCCGAGCCTCCACTTACCAGTCCAGCCCATCAAAAGTCTCATTGGAGGAAGCCCTGGCAGGAAGATACAAAAGTCATTGGACACTGGCTGCTGGGAGGGAGACAGGGACTACATCGCTGAGTCCAAACACTAATCAAGTCTGTGGGTAGAGAGCCTCTGCTCATATAAATTAGCAGCTAAACGGGCCAGGACAAATTGCTTCAAACCCTCGTCAGTAAAACAGGGGTCAGGGGGCTGGAGAGATGGCTCAGAGGTTAAGAGCACTAGCTGTTCTTCCAGAGGTCCTGAGTTCAATTCCCAGCAATCATATGGTGGCTCACAACCATCTGTAATGAGATCTGGTACCCTTTTCTGGCCTACAGGCATAAATGCAGACAGAATACTGTAAACATAATAAATAAATCTTTTTT